TCTTTGCCACCAGAAGGAGAAAACGCAGCCCTCCAGTAGCTCATCAACTGACCCCCCTCGGGAGCCAACTTTCGACTCTAGATTTCAGCTGATTTCCAGTGTCGAGGGAAATCCCACTTTCAGCGCATAAGTCATCTCAAGAGTTCTGGTGACCCTCCGGGCGGTTGAATTGCAGACCACCTTCCAATCGGTAGGAAAAAGCTGCTAAGATTTTCTCTGCTGGTGTCAGATGTCCCAGATAAGAAGTTGTCCAGTATATAAATTTCATCATTATTATTAGAATTAAGTTCTCCTAAATTGACAAATCACATCTAGCCAAAACACTTCATTTAGCTAACTTTATAGATGATAATTTACTCTGTTTTGAACCTCATAATTTACCATATTAAAGTTTAAAAGATAACTCCATAACCTTGTGTTGTCAAAGTAAGCCATCATTCATTCTGCAGCTGTATTCACCGTTTGATCACTTATATTCACCAAAATTGATAATAAATCTCACAAAAAAAATTGTACTTTGACTCAAAGCGTTTTTATTATATATGACTTTTTTTAATACGAAAAGAATTCACTAGAGCATTTAACTTGAGTCTGATTGAATAAATGAATAATTTCTGGCTTCAGAACCGGAAGCCAGTGGTGCCCCTTCAAAATAAAATTACTCATAAAAATTAAACAATCTGAGGACTGTTAATCCTACACTTACTTTGTACAGTACTGCAATAGATTTAGCTATTTTTATTCTTACAGAATTGATGTGATGTTCCCATGTCAGCTTTACATCAATGATAACATCCAAAACTTAACCTCAAATCTCAACACCCTCTAATCTAAATAGAATATTGACAGTCCTCTTTCTTTTATTGAATATCATATAGTTAGTTTTATCTAAGTTTAATGATAATTTATTAAGTTTAAACCAAGTTTGTATTTTTACAAATTCTGTGAACATCAACTGAATTAGATGATACAGTATTAGTTGAAAACTCTAGTATGAAAGGCAGTAGGTGATATGAATTCATTTTTAAAATGTCAGGTCGTTCTTTAAAGTGAAAGTTTTTATGTGACAATAACTTGTCTTTAATAGTTAGTCACTTACTGTCCAATCTGAAGAAGTCATTGAGAAGCTGGAAGAGAGGGAAACTGTCCCAGCTGTCAGGTGGCTGAACTTCAAGGGCAGCGTCCATGTCGGATGAGTAAACACAGAGAAAGATCTCGGCATGCTCCACCATGAGGTCAGACCACCATGCGAAGGCCTTCATATAGACAGAAAAGAAACAGAATTTAGAAAGTGAGAAAAAAAATCAAGTTCTTTCAAATGAAATATATAAAATGTGTCATGTTTTTGCCCCTCACAGCCAGTCATATTTATATTGTTCCTGCCAAGCTCAATCAATCAACCTTTATTTATACAGGTAAATCCCATTGAGCCTCGAGGACTCATTTACAAGAGAGACCTGAGCTGAGACCTGAACAAGCTCTGCCTGTTCCTGTCTCTCACTCTCTCCCAGCAATCAAGCTCATGCTCTACACCTGTTCACCTCCCTACTTAAGCTCCCTTCAGTCACTCAGTCAGTGCAAGATTCTTGAACCTGCAAAGTATTAGAAATCCAGCATACCCAGTCTTGACTCCTGCCTCGTTTCTGAACCATTGCCTGTTTTTGACTCCTCGCCTTTCCTGCCCCTCTTGGATTGATCTGGTTTCTGCTTTATGGCAACGACTCTGTGCCCTCTCTTGACCACGATTCTGGATCACGTTTTTGGCTCTGTTCTGCTCACTGTGTACAAACCCCTACTTCCCCTCTTGAACTTTGGAACTGGAACTCCCCTTTTTGTACCTACAAAATCTCTTCTGCTCCGCTACTGCTGTTACGCTGCATGAGTGACGTCATCGGCACCAGCGTGACAACAGTACCCGTTACTCCATCAAGACAGAAGGTTAGTGATTATCATTGTACCTGTCTTCGCCTCCCCATCCACGCCAAGTTCACTAACACTCCTGTCTGTCTTGGCAGATCTGACCCAGGCCCAAACCCTGTACTACACCAGAATCTGTTTATCTCTTAATATTAATCTCTTATTTTAAACCATTCCTG